CCGCCCGCCCGTGCGCGCCCGGCTGCCTGCCCGCCCGAGCCCCGGGAGGCCGGCGCGCGCCCCCACGGGTCGGAACGCACCGGCGGGCGAGGGCGGACCGCGCGCAGCGAGAGCCCCCCGCACCCTTCCTGGGAGGGAGAGAACCTGGAGGCGGAGATCTGCGCCCTCGGCCTCCCAGTCTGCGGCCCCGCGTCCCACCCCAGCTGGGGGTCGGGTGCTTGCCCTGGGGTGGGGGCAGAGGAGCACCGCCTGGGAGCCCGGTGACCTATTTCGTTCCTGAGGTCTCCCTGGGGGGTCCCAGTCTCTAGCGACCTGCTTCTCCACGCCTTTCCCTAAACTGCCACATTCCTGGCCCAAAGAATTGCTTAGGGTGGCGTTCGGGATTAGCAGTAAGGATGCAGGGTGAGCAAGTTAGGGAGGCTGATCTTTAAAGCAGCAAAATGATTGGCCAGCTATTTTAGAATTGCCTTTGACCACACTGCTTCCTGATCCCAAAGGGGTTCCTTTCCTTAGGTGTGTCTTAGATCGGGTTCATTATTACTGTTCCCCGAGAACATTTGCTTAACTGCATATAAGGTGCGGTTATGTGAATCAACATTATCGTCAAACTGCACTTATTAAGTGGTCCTTGAGCTGTGTTTTCAAATGGAAATCATTTACTGAGTTCCTGTAGAAGCTTCCTGCAGATGCTGGCCAAAACCCATTCATTTAGGTACTGAAGTGGCAGTGTTAATTTATTTTTTCATTTTAACACATCGGTAGGTTCTAAGATTAAGAACCTGATAGCCGTCTGCTTTTATGAGCTCATGTCTCCTTTGGATACAAAACCTAGAGCGCCTAGGAGATCTTAAGTTTAAAAATGATTTCCCAGCTTAAAGATGGGAGAAAACAAGGCATGATATTGTGGTTTTTCTTTTCAGCAGTGAAGGTTTCCTGACCGCCTTTCTCCACACTCACAGAAAGGGTCCTGTATAAATAGAGATGTTCCGCAGAACGGGGGACCCTTCCTACCCCATCATCATCCTCTGGTCATCCTGCCTCCCCCTGGTGATCACTGTCATTTCTCACCCCAGACCTGCAGATTCACCTACCCTTGACTTCCTCTTGTCCCTTTTCCTCCCTTTCTCCCATCCATGAGCTCCTGCCTCTGCAAGATCATCCTGCCTCTCCCTGCAGGCCAGTTCACAACTACAGATCAGTAGTTCTGGGGTGGGGCCTAGACTCTGCATTTGCAAGCCTCTGTCCTAGAGATCCTGCTGCTCCCGGTCCATGGACTACACTTTGAAAAGCAAGGTTCAATGGAGTTTCAAGAACCGCTTGTACCCGGTGGGGAGGCATCAGACACCTGTACCTGCCAAGAACCATGCTAATTGCTGGGAGCGCATATTCAGTAAGATGTGACTTCTACTCACAGGCACGTATGTGTGGCGGTCACAGATGCATAAAAAGGAACAACAATAGTAGGCAGCAAATGCTGTAATGAAGCAACATATATGTTCCTGTCAATTTCTCTGTGATGAATCAAAGCATTTTTAGAATGAAGTGTTGAAAAATAGTTGTTTGCGCATATACATAGCAGTTTTGGCATGGTACAGTTCAAACTACCTGCCAAAATTTAGGGGGCTCACATGAGCACTGCAGCTCAGGGCAGGCGAATGTGCGGTGCTAGCTAGACACTTTTCTAGTCAATGACACTGAGACAGGCCCTGCCCTCCGGAGCTGACACTAGTGGAACGTACTCCCTCTTTAACGTGCTTGGGAAAGAAGGGGGAAAAAAGAGAAGCAAGCGTTGGGAAGAGAAAAGGTAATGAAGTGGATGTGTTTTCTTGCAGTGAAATCTTGAGTTAAAGGAAGAAACTGAAGGAAATTCCACCTGGGGCTGGATACGGCCAAATGGCAGCGCCGAGGGGTTGCGGCAGGTGGGCACCAGCTCCCCCAGTTTGCCAAGGTCAACTGTGTGTTCACAGTTCTGCTCCGTTATGCCTTCCCCTCGAGTGATTACTTGTAACAACAACAACAACAACAAAGACTTTGGACTTCACTCCAAATTCTACGTTTTTTGTACATTTGTTAGGACTTTTGTTGCCAAGGGGGCAGAAATCCAATTCAAACGAACTTAATTCAAAATGGGTATTGTTCCTGGCGTGGCTGGGAAAGAGCCTGGAGTGGTGTCTGCAAGGCCACCTTCTCAGTTTCTCCACCGCTCATCACAGGACACTGGAGCAGATGCAGGTGACGTTTATTGTCTTTTCATCATTTACCTTTTTGTTGCTTTATATATATATATATATATAGCTTTGGCAAGAAATTGTAAACCTTAAGCACAGCCTGGCATTTTCACAACCTATACTAGCAATGATTGTTTTGTCTGAGAAAGGTTCTGTGCCCATCTTAAATGCACCCAGTGTCTTTGCTAACTTCGACCCTGTACCCACATTTCCTGGCCCTTCCTTGTGATTGAATCTATAGATTGTGGGGATGTCCCAGATTACTGGCTGGAGCAAGTCATAAACGGAGCCAGTCCCACATGGAGTACATGGTGTCTATGTTGAAATGTTACTGGTCAGCTTCTTTACTGCCTGTGTTAATGACTGTGAGTCAATTTCTATGTATTTGATTAACTGGTGCGCTAATCGGAACCAGATGAGCCATGCCTCATTCTGCCTAGCCAAGGGTTATATCGCACCTGCAAATAAAACAGGACTCCAAATTAAAGTTTAATTTTTATTTATTTCTCTAACTTATAGTAAATTCTTTTGCAGTGTAACCTACATGTAGGAACTGCATATTTCACAAACGTACAGTTTGATGCAGGGATGCCAAATGAATATACCAATGTCATCTCTAACCATCCTGAGAAGTAGAACATTACCAGTGCCCCAAAGCTGTCCGTTTGTCCTCACCTCAGTTCTTATCTCCCCTAGGAAAAGGAAACCACTCTTCTCAATTCTAACACCATAGACTGGATTTGCCTGTTTGTGAACTCTCCAGAATGGAATCATACAGTATGTATACTGTTGTGTCTGACTTCCACACTCAACATTATTTCTGTGAGATTTATTGTTTTGTTGCGTGGATTAGGAGTTGATTCTTTTTTCCTTGCTGTGTAGTATTTATCATATGATGTGCCACAGTTTTTTAATCCAATCTCCTACTGGTCACATTGTGTTGCTGTCTGGCTTTGGCTATTGTGAAGAAAACCATGATGAACATCCTTGTACATGTCATTTAATGCACATATGTATGCATTTCTACTAGGTATGTTCCTAAGGCTGGGTCAAAGTATATTTTAATAATTAATTCTCTATTTAATCAAACCCTGACTGCTATTTAAGGACAGTGAGGGGTCTATGAAAAATCATAACACACCCCTCCTTTCCCCTTTATAAAACCCTCTAAACTTCCCATGTTAATAGCAGAGGGACATAGTTCATGGGAATATCAAGGAGATAAAGAAAGGAGGACACATCACATAAAAACAATATTCAGTGAGATTCTGTGTGAAAAAGAAGAGTTCTGTTGTCAGTGCTAACATCACCTCATTTCTGCACATATTTTTGTGTTTTTATTTATTTATTTATTTATTTATTTTAAAGATTTTATTTATTCATTTTGAGAGAGAGATAGAGAGAGCACAAGCAGAGGGAGAGGGAGAAGCAGACTCTCCACCGAGGAGGAAGCCCAATGTGGGGCTCGATCCCAGGACCCTGAGATCACGATCTGAGCTGAAGACAGATGCTTAACCATCTGAGCCATCCAGGCGCCCTATTTTTGTGTTTTTAAAATTGTATGAATTAAAAAAAATAGAAATCTTTTTCTGATTATAAAATAATACATATTCATTATAGAAATTTTGCTGCCTGCAATTAAAATTAAAAAGTAAAATTACCTGTACTTTCAATTCCAGGGAGAGTCACTGTGAGCTTTTTTTTGTTAATATACATTTTTAATGAATTTATTGGAGATTTTTTTCCCCCAGAGTAACTTGAGGAATTACTTTCAGAAATATTTTATCCTCATTGTTGTATGGAGAAATAGTTTTAAACGTTCTTTGGATTTTGAGCCACTGGTTAGTCTTGTCTCTGTTTCTTATTGATGTAAGTGGCCAGGGAGGGACAGTTGCTATTCACCCTCAGATGCCCATCAGCCCTCCACCTCTTGCACCGGCCTTCCCTGCAATGCCCCCTGCTGCCTCTCTGTCCCCCTGGGAGCTGAATGGCATGTTCTGATCCCTCTGTCCCCCTGGAACCTGTGAATATTACCTTATATGGCAAAAGGGATTTTGTAATGTGGAAGTGATTAAGCATCTCCAGATGGGCAGATGACTCTGGATTATCCAGGTGAGCCCTAAATATAATCACAAAGGTCCTTTTTTTTTTTTTTTAAGTAGGTGCTACATCCAGCATGGAGTCCAACACAGGGCTTGAACTCACGACCCTGAAATCAAGATCTGAGCTGAGATCAAGTGTCCGATGCTTAACCTGCTGAGCCACCCAGGCACCCCACAGAGTTCCTTTTGAAGGATCTTTTCTGAAGACAGAGGAAGGGGCCCAGGAGCTAAAGGGTACAGACAACCTCTGGGAGCTGGAAGGACCAATGGATGGATCCTCTCTGGAGCCTCTAGAAGGAACATAGTTTTGACTTCTTAACTCGGAATAAATTTAGGGTGTTTTTTTATTGATAAACACTATAACTAACTAAAGTCTGTTGTTTCCATTAGTGTTGTACATTCTGTGGGTTTTAGCAAATTCATAATGGCATGTCTCCACCATCATAGTATCACACAGAGCAGTTTCACTGCCCTGAAAATGCCCTTTGCTGCACCCGTTCCTTCCTCCCACTTCCGCCAACCCCTGTCCACCACTGATCTTTTTACACTCTCTGTGGTTTGCCT